ATCAAATCTAAACTGTAGATGCGCCTAAAGTGAAATATGAGAGAAGTCTGTTTATTTCCAATTTCAAAATATAGAACTTATCTACATTTGTCCCTACTTTCTTAAATATAACTGTGTCTATAAGTCTTAAATAAAATTTTATAATCGTTTTTTAATTTCAAAATACTCACAAATAGATTTTAAGATTAAAAAATACTAAATAATTTAAACTTATATACAATATATTCTCTGCTGTATTTAAAATATGACGTATATAAATACTATTATAACTTCTCATAATTTAGATGTTTATCATTAAATTGGGTGATTTTGGAATTATACTATTTTATCATTCTCTCATCATATATTTATATACTTCTTATTACAAAACTGATATCGTAATAATTAAATAATTGATATTTTTCTTATTTGAGGATATTGAAAGAAAATAAATTTTTAATATCTATTATATTTAATAAATAATCAAAATTTATTTATAAAGAAAAGGAAGAGGAGCCGAAACAGAGAGCAAACACTATATAAAGAAATTAAAGTTTATCGTTTTGACTATACTGCTATAACTTTAAAAATACCGTCCAAAGTAATAGTTCCGTGCTAAATTCTTTTCATACTCGAATTACAACTAATCCATTAGCTGTTATTTTAAAGTTAATATATATTTCACAATATGAATTAGTAAAACGACTTTCTACACTTCTACAGTATGTCACATAAGTAATAAATATAATAAATATAATAAATCAAGAGTCAGAAGCTAGAAATTGGTCACTTTTATCACAGTCGATCGATATTCGCTTTTTACATTCAAATATGATTGGTCAATTTCTATCTTCTAATCATTGATTTACCACTATGACTAATGACTTATTTGTAGAAAGCCTCCAATGCATTGCGAAGTAGACAAAGTATCTACTAGTATCTACCATAGATGGAATCCCACGAAAGTTTGACCGATTGATTATTCCATTGAAACCGACCAATACCATTTGTCGTTAAGTAAAATTGACCAATTACAGGTGACACTTAATTGATCAATCAAACTGATCGGAGATGGTAAATTAAATATAATATTGTGAAAAATGAACAACATTTATATTAGTCAATGTTAAAGTAATTAATATAAATGCGGATTTGGCCGCCAATTTATCTCACCTAGGATAGACCGAATCGCGCGTCGTTCTCATTGACATGTAGTGGCAATAAAGATGCGGCATTATTCGTCTCGTTCGTTCCACTCGCGCGCAATCCTGAGGCACGACTCCATTTTGAACTTTCTCGTGCAAGTAGGCAATTTTTTCCGGGGATATACAATTGTTGGAAGTCGGGTCGTCCTCGGAGATGCTCTCGAGGTATATTTGGAGGCTGCACCCACTTAAGACAGACATCGTCAAGTGCGGTGCACACAAATGCTCGTCAATTTTAGATACAACGTCGAAAGAAGTGATTGGGAAGCCTGCTAAAGTACAGGTTAGACGTGCTCTATTACGTGACTTTTTCATATCGCGCCACCGAAAACCCTTCAAGGGATATCCGAGAGGTGTCTGGAAGATCTCGCTTCGTGCCTTCCAGATGAGCCCCGATTATCTCTTTTACATGTTTGTGGTATTTCGTGTGTATATTGCATAATTAATAGAAAAGGAAAGTTCTGGATGGCTGTTCTATGATTATTCTATGACCATCCGATTTACGGGATTTCACAGATACATAGAATCTTGGTCGCACTGAAATTAATGTTAGCTCGCGGCGACGCTTAACGTTGTCGCGTCCACGACTTACGAATTTTATGATAGAAACCAACTGACTTAATCTTGTTTACACTAACAGATGTGTATTCATCTCTCTCTCTCTCTCTCCATGCTTAGGGATGGGTACGCGCGCTGCGAAAGATGAAGGATACCGTCTTTGTTGACATTTCCGATGGATCAACGTGCGAAATGTTGCAAGTTGTTGTGCCAAAGACAGTTAAACCTGGCGATTTGCGTTACGGAAGTAGCGTCAGCGTGGAAGGAGAGCTAGCCTTGGCTCCTAACGGCAAGACTGAGCTACGCGCAACCGAGTTACATGTGATCGGCGTGTGCAATGTCTTGGAGGACGGGTATCCTTTCGCACCGAGAAAGATATACGATCCAGAGTATGTCAGACAGTATTTACATTTGAGGCCGAGAACGCGAAACTTCTCTAGTTTATTAAGATTGCGTGATCTAGCCACTACAACGATCACTGATTATTTAAGAGATAGGGGATTTCTTAGTGTACACACACCGATGTTAACATCCAACGATTCCGAAGGCGCGGGTGAGGTGTTTCTTGTCAGACCGCAGTCCAAACAGATTCTAGAAAGTATGAAGAAGGAAGGTCAATCAGAAGATGAGATTTACTTTGACACCACTGCTTTCCTTGCTGTCTCTGGACAGTTGCATTTGGAAGTGGTAGCAAGGTGATTTAAATTTTTTTATGCACATTGTCAATAATGTTGTATCTATCATACTTTGCAGTTTTCGCTAAATTATAGGATGCAATGTATTGTTAGAACTTTTTCAGAGCTCTCACAAAAGTGTACACTTTTGGACCTACATTCAGAGCAGAAAATTCAAAATCAAGATTGCATTTATCAGAGTTTTACATGTTAGAGGTGGAGATAGCGTTTATTACACAGATCGAAGAATTGATAGAAGAAATTGAGCTTTTAGTGAAACAGATTACTGAGCGAATGATTGAAAAGGGAGCCTCGGATTTGCATGCGATCAATGCTCCAGAACCACAGTGGTTGAACAAAACATTTGCACGTTTAACATATGAAGATGCGATCAATGTGTTAAATAATCATGCGAATAGATTGCAACGACCCATCAAGTATGGAGAGGCATTGTCAAAAGAACACGAACTGTTTTTGGTACAATGTAATGACGGAGTACCAGTGTTTGTTATTAACTGGCCAAAAGCTATTAAACCATTTTATATGAAAGAGTACGCAGATGATGTATCTAAGGTACGTCAATAACAAACAATATATAATTTTTTTTAAGAACGTTTTTCCTGGATAAATACATGTTTTATAATACTTTTATCTATCTTTTTTTTCTTGCAAGGTAGCGGCACTGGACTTGCTAGTGCCAGGTGTGGGAGAATTGGTAGGAGGTAGTATACGTGAGGATGATTATGAAAAATTAGAGCTGAAACTGCCTCCCACAGAGAATCTCTCATGGTATTTAGATTTACGTAAATATGGAAATGTGCCAACAGGTGGCTTTGGATTGGGCTTTGACAGATTTTTGCAATGCATCTTGGGAATTAGCAGTATCAAGGACACCGTGCCTTTCCCAAGGTGGCCGCACAATTGCAATTTATGAATAAAGTTTTCAGGGTGTTGTATTATTTAATTTAAATCCCCCTAACAAAAAATGTGACTGTCAACGTAAATTAACGGTCTTTCAAATGGAAAAATAATGCCGCATATTTCGTACAAAGATCCTTTTTTTTTTTTATAAATCATTGGACATGCAGATTTCTTAAATGATTAATGGATGTGGTAATCTGAGAGTTAAAATATTCTAAATATGGTATAAAAAACAGTAAGCTTAATCAATCTTATATTTATTATACAGCTTACGTTATTGTTTTATGATTTTCATTAAATTTATTCGCTTTGTTTTATTATCTAAATTTTTTGTCATGTTTTTTTATTTTTTTTTTTCATAATGAAATTGAATACACAGTAATTTCATTTTAAATGCAGTTTATTGAATATTGAAAGATACAACGAAAATATCGCAATAAGTTTACGCAGTGATTCCATTTTAAACGCAGTTTATTAAGACATAAGAACAAAAATATCGAATTTTTTTTATCAATGTCTTTATTATTTTAAATATTCCTAGCTTATGAAATTCAAGCCTAAATAGCTTCAAAATTATAAAGGATATAATAGAAAGGATAATTAAAAAGAGAGAAAGTCAAGCCTGTAATAAACAAGTCTTTTATACAACAAAATAATGCGTATCTAATAGCAGTAGTAATAATCCTCGTTATATCGTCATTGTTTTTCCGTTGATAGTTATGTACATTATAAGTAGACGATTCATATCACAAATTTGTACACCTTAAAATGACTCGTCGTATGCTCCCCTCCCAACACTCATTGAAGGATTTGCAACATTTTATGTACAAGTACTTAAAAGTACTTAATATTACAGGTGAGTGCCACCATAAAGCTTAAGCTTAGGATGTGATCCACTTAACACTGCATATATTTCGTTAACTAATCAGAAAAAGAATATTGTCAATTTACCAATCAAAAAATGCTTTGAAAAATTTGCAATGTAAAGTAGCTCGCACCCTTACATAAGCATGAACAGTACTTTAGGTTTTTAGTGATAAAACATCATCAAACCTAAATAAGTACCGTAACGGTACTTGAAGTTTTCAGTTTTGAGTATATAAATCATAAATAGATCTGTCATTTTCCCTGTTACAAAGCAATGTCGACAAATAATACATTCACTCTCGCGCCAGAATGCTACTACATATTTTTAAAAATACATAAAATATATGTACAGTTTACTTTTTCCCTCGCGCTCTCTCTCTTTTTTGCATCCATTGTGATGTTAAACATATTTACACGCTTGCACACATTTCACATATTTTTTTTTTTAACTTGGACGACATGATTTAATCAAACGTAGATAGTTTTCGTGCTTTCGAATAAATTGTGTATATGTAAGTAAATTTAACTTAATTTACACTTGAAATTAATTTAAACTTACTAATTTATATAAATGAGATTATAATGAATAAAATATTTTAGTTAAGCATGTACACATGAATAACATTAAATATAACAAAGAAATATTCTACTCATTGTTACTACAAAAGTCACGTTATCACGTCGTTCAAGTTATATAAAATACGCTTGGCTTAGCGCCGAGACACTACCGTGTCTCCAGATTATGATTTACAAGTGGTCTTGTTTTTTGTTCCTGCACCGTGAGTGAAACAAATATATTTGTTTTATTTTAACTTATTGCACCATGTGCATTAGTTCAGACAGTGCACAAACAAAAACAGACCTAAGATGTAAATATAAGCTAGAAATAGATCGCGTTCTATATCTAAATATAAATCTAGTATTTTATACATTTACATCGCAAGGTGAATAATTTCTAACTTTGTACACTGGATATTTACATAATAGAACAAAGTCCCGATAATTCTTGTCCCTTTTCCACAGGAGGTAAATTCGATAGTTTTCTACCCTGTAGACTTGGCTTGATAGAAGCTGCCACTAACGGTTGTTCTGCATTTTCCTCTGCTGAAGTTTCAACCGCTACTTTCTCCTTTTCTTTATTTTCCTCTGGTTCTTTGTTGATGTTCAATGGCTTAGTAATGTTAATCTTAATTCGCGATGGAGCCGCGGGAATAGCTGGCGGTGTCGAATCTAATTCCACATTTCCGTCGATGGAACTTTTCACTGCGGCATATGTTGTATCGACCGTGCCCGACTCATTTACAATTTGTTCAGGATCTGGGGGGAAAAAATAAAAATATTATAAAATCATATTTAATATTGTTTATAAAAACATTCTTATACAAAAGAGAATCTGTTTGTTATCATCTAAAACGGATATACATACCTGGTTCAGCCTCCATAGGTTCCTCTTTGATTTCCACGTTGGCGAAGTCAAACACTTCGCTATCGACTTGTTCATCAATGTCGTCTAGTGGTTCTTCTTTAATTTTAATATTCTCAAAAGGTATTGTTACACTTTCGCCCGGAGATTCGTCTTCTTTATTTATCGTAGGCGCGTCTTGCTCGGCGCCTTCTATGAGAGCTTCTGTATTTTCTTCGTCGACCTTTTCTATATTTTCTGTTTTTTCCTCTGTATCGTCCTGTAGAACTTCGGAATTTTCCGTATCAACAGACTCTTCTTTTTTCTCTGATACAGCAATAGAGTCTAAAAGTTGCTGCATGTTCACCTCTACTTGATTCAAATTCTCTATAGACTCGAGTTGCTCTTTTTTCGACATTTCTATGTCAGATTCTTCCTGCTTAACTTCATCTCCGGGCGTTTCTTCGGAACATTCTACCTTATTTTCCTCCATTTCCGAAATAGTCTCTTCAAGCGTCAAAGCTGATTTTTCTAATGCTGTCTAAAGTTTTAATAAGATCGAGATTATTAAATTAAGCTAGGACAGAAATAATGTGAATAAATACATATTATATATTTATATCAAAATTAATTAGTATAGGTGTGAACAATACATGATATATGAATAGTGAGAACAATGACATATGTGTATAAATAAAAAAATCGAAAAATGTTCAACTTTATTTAAATATATGTTAAAAAAATTAATAATTTTATGTACACTTTAAGGAGGTTTTCTAGTTTAAATAAGTGTATATATCTTTTAATATAGGAGTTTTTGGTCATTGCTGTCTTTTAAATAATAAAATATAAAACAATTTAAAAAAAGTAACTGGTAGTTCGAAGGAAATGTTGATTTTTCGTAACATTAATTAAATAATCATGCAATATATATATATATATATAACTTAAATTGAACACTTTATAAACCTTTCATATTTTTATTTGAGAATATAAGTCATATTTTTATTTAAAAATATAAGTCTTTTTAGAAAATTATTTAAAAATACGATAAAAAAATTTGAAAAATCAGGAATGTCTACATTAATTATAAATTTATTCTCAAAATTGAAGAAATTCTTATTTTATGTTGAAAGACTGAAGAATTCCTTTAAATAATTCTATATAAAAAAAACATCGCGTATAAATAAATAAATAAATACATAGCAGTAGTTATTCTATCACTCTCTCTAACCAATTTTACTTTAAAGAACTTTTAGCGAAGCTTATAAATTTCTCTTTCTTTTTTTAAAACTGAGAGAGAGACACAGAAAGGAAGTCGTAAACATTGCTTAAATAACGTTGGTGTATTTAGACCTAAGAGCAATAAAGCTTAAAGATGTGACATGTGAATATGAATTATATTGAGAATATAACGTACCATTGAATTTTTTTCCTATTTTTTGTAAGAATGCAAGAAACGATAGTTTTGTTAATGAAATATAATATTGACATATCAATGGACAAAATTCAAACCACCAATTGAAATAGAATGGAGAGACACGAACCTTGTAATCCTCTAAACAGAGGGGATGGTAATTCTTATCCTCGTAATTAACCGCTGGTCTCAAATGCCATTCCTCCTTTTCCTCATTATAGAATTGCTCAAATGCGTCATGGCATACTTGGCATCGTGAATCTTCATCGCTGCCAGTTGGTACGCTTGGCTGCAATGTTTCCTGAGGCGAATCATCTGTAGCCATACCTTCTGTTTCTGCTGTCTGTTTCTCAGTCTCGAACCAGCTTTGTGCTGAAAGAAAAATGAAGAATATAAGCTAAAGAAGAAATAAGGTGTCATCATGATCGAGTAACCAAACACGGAGGTGTTTCGATTGCTCTTAATATAAAGTTTTATCCAAGCCTTACGCTCCGATATCCCTTTCGCTCGTCTGTTGAGCTAAATATGGCCGTCTATAATTCGGCTAGCCTGATATTATGTTTTAAGAATTCTGAATAATATATATTGAGAAAAGAGGAAAAATATACAAACCTCTGTCCTCCAAATCTTCGATCTCCTCAAACTGTATCCAATCGCTGACGTCATAATACCATGCTCGAGAGTGCGCTTTTCTCGCAGAGTCACGTTCACGTCTGTTTTGTCTAAAGTGCCAATCCAAATGGTGGCTGTACCGAGTAGCTAACTCGGGCGCAAATCTAGCACCGCAAGAACTACATTGCATACCACTGTATAACGCTGCTGAAATTGCTGGTTGCTTACTGTAAACGAGAAAATTGTTATTTTATGTTTATTTTATCTATAAAGTTTGATTTTGTGTCTTACCAATATGAAAACTATGACATTGATGAATGATAACTTACATTTTAAGAGTTTCCGGTTTATCAAAGGTGACTGGAGTAATCTCAGATTCTTTCTTTTCTTCTTCCTCCTGTTTCTTTTGTTCTGTAAGATTTGGAACAATACCAGTCTCAACCAATCTTTGGAATAATTCGCTCATATTCAATGGCAACGTCGGTGCTGATGCATTTTCTACAGGTTCGGCTTGATATGACAAACCGGATGATGGTGCCATTGCTGATGGCAAAACTGATGATAAGATATCTAATTGTAGATCTGTAATTGTTGGTTACAATTACCATCGGGAGACACGGTAATGTGAATACCAGTCTCAACAATAAGAAAGCATGCGCACAATAAAATATCAAAGAATTATATAATCTAAAGAAACGTAACGAAATTAACTTTTTACCTGGTTTTGAAGTAGAAGTAAAATCTATACCATCTTGTGACGTGGATTCATTTTCTACAGCGGGTAACTGACTTGGCGCAGGAGTAGCATCTACTTTCGGTTTTTGTGCCACCAAAGGCGCCGTCGGTGGCGGCGATTCAATGGGACCTTCACCTCTCATTCCGGTAATTTTAACATGACCAGCACGTACTCCTCTGGGCAATACCGAAAATCTGATGAAATGCTTCTTGTCTCTAACAATAATAGGTTTAGGTAATCCTCCAAATTCGACTTTAAACGGTCGTCCATTTAGCAGAACTGTCTGCAATGCATCTGTAAATTCTAGAGTATGAGGCTTTCCTTCAATTTCGAATCTGTAAAGAAACAAGCGTGATTACAAGTGTGCACGTTTATGATTCTTCTAATAATTCATATGTCGCAGGAAATGTACTTACATCTGTGGTTTTGCGTCTAAAAATACCGGCACCATATTTCGCGCGTTAATAATAAGATTAATTTTTGCAACTACGAGATCCGTCCGCTTTACAGTGCCAATTTTTACTTGTGGAGGAGGACCCTCCAATTTTACACTAATTTTCTTGCCGCCGAGTTCAATTGTTATTGGCATACCACCAAAGTAACACTCATACCAGCAATCGTCAACATACAATTCTCGAGTAGGTGCTCCAAGTTTGATTCTGAAAAGACATGATTTGTGCTATTAACGCTGTTATCTAATCATCAAATTAAACATGTAAAAAATGTGAATGAACTGTTTTTTTAAGGAAAAAATAACAAGAAAGTATTCTTTCAGGTATTAAAATAGTAGTAACCAAAAGTGACATTTTTAAATAAAACATTCAGAGTAATTAAGACCATTTCAGTAAAAAAATTTCCTCTCATTTTCCCTGGTCTATTTTTGAGTAGCTTAGCATATAGCAAATTCTTTTCATATTATAGCTTGAAAATTTAAAAAAAGAAAAGAATAGAGGCTTGAATAATAAAATAATACACCTCTGTGATGCAGTTTTATGAAATAATCTGTATTATTATTCAACTGTTACATGTGCATCGGGACACTTAAAATCCAGTTCAAATAACATCTAGATGTGTTATGTAACTTACCTATGTACTTCTCCTTCGTACATAAACTCCTTATATTGATCATTAAATGCACAAGTTATAGTGTCCTTCTCGTCAATCAATATTCTTCTTATGCCGTCCTGGAAGCCGATCTCCCGTGGATCATCCCAGTTCATAAACACCACACCAGTTTGTCCATAATAACGAATCTCCCGTGGTATATTGTCAATATTTATAGACTTCATAGTATCTCTTGCGATATCAGCTAATAGTTTTGAATCCGGTGGCGGCAATTCGCGGCTATGTGAGCCCGGATTCTTTAACGCGTTATTGTAACTGTGATCATTATCCTCGAGATCATACTTGCCGGATGTGTTCGGTGATACGTTTCTACCAGACGTCAATGGTGGCATATTTGTCATAAGATTGGGCATTGGTCCGTTATTCATCATCATTGCGGGATGGCATCCCATCGGCATAGGAGGATTTGGCATAGGTCCCATTGGTCCCATTGGACCATTCGGCAAAAGATTCGACATGATCGGCCCATTTGGACCCATCGGACCTATCATACCAGGCCCTAAGCGCGGGTTGGGACCCATATTGTGATTAAAACCGCTATGATACTGATAATCCGGTCGCATTGGCCCGAAGTGTCGCGGATTCTGCCAAGGACCGACAGGTCTCATGTCCGAATTGAAGTGTCCCTGCGGTCCACCGTATGGTGGTCCTGGTGGATGCGCCCAAGGTTGTTGCCATGGCTGATTCTGCCATCTTGGACCATTTGGATTTCGTGGCATTGGATGATCCTTGTTTCGCATAATTTCCTTATCATTGGACGGGCTGAATGTCGCGGCGCGATCTCCGGGACCGGACATGTCCATATTAATACCCTTTTCCCATATTACTGTGCCAGCTTCCTTCTCCTTACGCTGCGCAGCTCGCAATTTCCGATCTTCGCTCATGTGCAATACCTCTTGTATCAAGGTATTGTACTGTATTTTCGTGATCGATCCTTGATTCAACTGTTCAGCAGCTTGCTTCATTATTATCTCAATATTTCTATCGTCATTTCTCTCAGGTTTATCATTCTCTCGACCTCTGCGTCCTGGTCTGGAGTCCTGTTCCTCATTCGATAACGTTCTTCTTCTCTCTTTAGGATCGTCCGGAAGCTTGTTATAGAGTCTGAGACGTCCCAATCTATCTCTGTTACGATCTCGGTCGCGCTTATCGTCAGTATTATTAACCTGCTTATCTCTATCATTCTTCGTGGGCGTCTTTAATTTCGCCCAACCATCTTTTCCATCCTCCCCAGAAATCACAGGCGGTGGAGGTGTCGGAGGTCTACCGGCATTAGGATGCGTCAAAGTGCGCAAATCCACGTCTTCATTACCAAATAATCTGTAAAATTGAAAGTGTAAATTATTGTATTTTTGCAAATTAATAGTAATTAATGATACATATGAGATTTTTTAATGTACATAATTAAAAGATTCAGCTAATGTGATACATACGCGTCAAACTTTTCAGCCTTAGTTTTTTTCGGTGGGATCGCCTCGACACATTCCTCACTGCGTCTTTTGTTAGTGTTAACAGGTGGTAATACTCGTAGATCTAAATCTTCTTCTGGAAAAGAATTCAAGATAAGATAACTTGTGCAAGAAAAATTTATTATGGATTAACTTAATATTACCGTTTCTCTTTATTTATACGTCCCTAATAAATATATACTCATTTCGAAGAAATAGATTTTCGGACATTTTCCTGAAGAAATGCACATTAAGAGATTTCTCACCAAAGTAATTAAAATTATATTGTGAGAACAAGAGAAGTTAGTATATGATAAATTGAAAATACTACTTTTTAAAGATATCACCTGTTACAGTCTTACTTGCAATTGCTACCACAGATGAGGCAAATATTGTAGTCACCTTTATGAGAAAATATTTAAGACAGAATTTTTAGCAGTAACTAGAGAAAGCACGCAGAAAAATTGATAGATACTTTTACATGCACAATTGAAATATAGATGACAGATATTTATGAATAGTGTTACACGTTGTTACATATAGATATATGTTTCCAAGCACTGTTGACTCACTCTTTTCCGGTATAGAAACAGTGGTTCCAGGTAGAGATAGTGGTGCCCTGAGATCTTCATCTTTGCTAGAAGATTCCAATGTTGGCTCGGCTGCGATTTGAGTATTTCCAGCATTGACTGGAGAACGTTCCGGACTAAGACTGTCGTCTTTATTTCGTCTTACATAATTTCTCTGTCTAGCGTTCGGCCTGATCTCTTTGAACGTAGGTGGATGAGGAGGAGATACTATTAACGAACCAGATTGCTCCTCCTCAGTAACACCACCGGAATTATTCAAGCTCGAGCTCGATTTCGCGTCGTTACGCCTGGGAATTCTATACGGAGGACTTGGACTACGCTTTCTCGATTTCGTGTTCTTCTTACGGTTTTTAGAGGCTTGGAAGGATTGTGGAGAGGTACGTGAGGACGGTGAACTGTCTCCGCTGTCTTTTTCACGAGATTTTGACCTAATCGGACTCGAGTCTCTGTCGAGTTTCGGAATCTTACTCGGACATATCTGAGGTTGTTTAGATCGCGACTTATTGCCTAATTTCCTATGCGAAAATTTGGAGGAAGTGGAAGACTTGTCAGCCAAAGAAGAAGAGCCGCGCGAGTTCGAGCTCTTCGAATCTTTTGACTTGTTGGTGTCACTACCTCCACTTCCTCGATTCCCTGTTGATAATACTGAAGACGAGTTATTACTGCAAACCGGTAAATTCTGGCTGTTCTTGGAGTTGTTACTGTTTAGGTTAGCACTACTATTAATATTTAATCTAGGATCTTTCTTTTGACTTGTTCGATGCGAGGTAGCATCTTTATTTATATTACTATTAAAATTTTTATTATTGCTATTATTATCAGAATTATTGTTATTCATAACGTTTAATAACGTTGTATTATTATCAGGTCCGGCGCCGGGATTGACCGGAGGCTTGTTGATAGTTACAGCCGATTTCGAAGGTTGTTGTTTTAATTGGTTTGAAGTTACAATTGTATTTGCCACTTGCTGCGCTTGATTTTCGCTCCGCGCTTCTTTTGGACTGATTGTACCCGGTCGTTGTCGTGGATCTATCGTTGGCACTATCACATCCTGAACAGTAGGAGTAGGCTTCAAACGTGGATCTCGCGAGACTGGCTTTGCCGATGCTACTGCTATACTACTGGCTGGTGCAATTCGTGGACCATTGTTTGCTCCTACATTCTTCAAAAGTGACGCTGCCGCTGCTGGAAACTATAAGCAAAGAAAATTATTATTAGTTGTAACATTTATAATAATATTCAGCGATTTAATACAATTTAGTATAAAGAATGATATTAAATATTAAATTTCATAGAACTGTACATGTGAGAACAACCAATAAAAAATAAAAATCAAATGCCTATTCGACCTAACGATGAAGCTAAAACTTTGCTTAAATAATTCATACTGAATTATTTATATATATATATATATAATACATATATGTATATGCATATATACTATATTTGTAATTTATAAGCAATAATATATGTAGTATAAACGGAATCATTTTTTTTTAATTCCAAAATATCTTTAAACTCTAGCCTTTTAAATGTGTGTGTGTGTGTGTGTTTATTAGGTCGGAATATATGTATATATATGATATCTAACTTACTTGTTTAGCTACTTGTTTTGAAGTTTGATTTGGCACTACAGGTGTGATAGGTTTTGCTTGCGTTGTTGTCTCCGTAGTTGGCGCAACATGTGCAGTGGACACAACCTAAAATAACAATAAAAGATATTATATCGTTAATCATATAAAACACAAATCCGATACAATAAAGTATTAAATTATGAACGAGAGCCATGAAATTCTTAGCTTGTATCTATTTTTAGGTTGATTATATTAGGTTGACTATATTAAGTTGACTATATTAGGTTGGCTATATTAGGTTGATTATATTAACACTTACCACTTCCGTTTTCAAGCTTCCAGCTTGTTTGTCAAGTTGTCTTTGCTGTTGCTCTAAACTTGCTTTAGCTTGCAACAGTTCTAACTCGATTTTTTTCTTTTGTAATTCTAACAATTCTCGCTGCTTCTTCAGCAGTTGTTCTCTCATAGCTGCTTCTGTTGTTGTTACCGGTTCTCCTGGTGGCAATTTAACAGGCGGAACAATTGAAGTTGCGGCTTGTTGAGGCTGAAAAAAATTAACATTAAGCATTCCATAATGTAACAATAATACGTTTCTCTCAAATATACAATTGCGTACATATATGACACTTACCATTGAAAGAAATCTTGGATTGACATGTATAGATCCTGAAGGAATGCTAGTAGGTGGGGCAGTGATTGGCCATGCAGGATCGATACTTTGCACCCGTACATCTAATGAAAATAACTTATTTGGTGGAAATACATCATTCCACGTTTGTCGCAACTTCCACATGCTAGCTCTTGTGTTCTCATCAACCTGTTTATGAAAATAACATCAGCATTGTACCATTATATAATTAAAACAAAATACAATTTTTAAAAAGTACGGATAGATTTAGTATATGGTAAAATCAATCTTTTTAAATTTTAAATACTGTCAACTCTTTAACGTGTTTGACAAAAAATTTTCTTTGTTTCTATTTATTAAGATTTTTCTTAAAATTTGAAATACGAGTATATGTATTCTTTCTGAAAGAAAGAACTGATACACGAGTGTCTGTGAAACTTTCCAGAGTTGTAAGGTAATGTTATATTGATCAAACAATTATCTTATGTCATCGTGAAATATAAAATATCGGACGACTCTACACATGCTATAAAATGTTCCTTTCAGAAACTCGGCAATTTATAGTTTTGTCTCATCGCGTGCGTAGAAGAAAGCAAAGGTTACTCTCGGTCAGCGACAGATCGTCGATCGTGCGAAAAAGAATCATATTAATTAACAATATTCTAGAAATCTAGAGACTTGTTTTGTATTGCTGCATTGGACTGTACTAAAATAAATTTTCTTCTAACTTTCGCTAAATATCTATTTCGTCTTAAATACAAAGAATGTACAATAATTCAGCTATGAAAAGCAGACCTTATACCAATAATTTTGACAAAAACAATAAAGATATTTACCTTCTCAAACACTCCACAGAATGTGTTTACTATGTTCTGCGTGAAAAGATTCAAATAGTCTCCATTCACATTCTTGACAATCGAGTCGATGAGATAGAGTACCGGTAACTTGATGTCACTTCTCACCTAGTGAAACACAATAATATGCAAAAAACGCTACTTCAATACTTACAATTAATAAGGATACTTAAGTTATTATATATGTGTGCGGTTTAAAAGTATCTCGATATACATGCATATTCCAGAATCATTGTAATTATCTTCAGCTTCAGACATATTTCTTTTTATTTGAAGTCCATTTTTCCTTGGAAGAGCTTGATAGGAAGACTAATTATGAAAATACTTAACGTAGAACCGCTACATTAGATTTCGAAAAGGATAATTTCACAAGGGTAATATATAGTAAAATCTTATATTTTTCAATTAATTGCAGATATATTTTATTTGTACAGATATTTTAACTGCGGCTAAATTGCCAGTACATTTAATGCTGTAAATAAAAGTAGTATATAATAAGAAACAGCCACCTATCAAATTTCCATTGGGAAAATGTCCATAAATCTGTTGAAAAATGTGAAAATTTCGGAACGTTTTGCACACAAAAATATATTACCGCGTTGAAAGAAAAGCGAAATAAGTCAACAATTCGCATTTTTGAGATAACAAAACGAAATTTATCTTAAAGACTAATATATTGTTGTTTAAAAATGATACATTTGTCAATACATTACTTATGTGAAAGTGTTACAACTCTGATAAGAAATAAAACTTATACAATCCTATACTAAGGTTACAATGTGCGAATCTTAAACTCTCATGACATAGTGTTAAAGAATAAATTATTAATTATAACATAAAAAAATAAAGTTATGCATATTATCTTGTCTTGATTAAAACATTGTTCCAATTCAGAAAGAATTTTTTAAATATTTTACTATGCTAAAAGTTGCTCATTTTGAGTTGTGTCACTTTTCTATTAACGCAACAATATATCACATATCGACAAAACTAGTATCGCATTTTTCGAAAATCATCAAATTTATATATAAATATGTTCTATTATATATATTTAACTCTTAAACGCTTTTTCGATATGAAATATCCAGTTTTCTTTTTTCAATGCCTCTTCAATGCTTTTCTTGTTGCTTTTTATTAATTAAAATATATGTACATTTGCTTGATATCCTTAGTTTGGTGTTTCGATTTCAAAACAAACTTATTTACAATATAACCTTTTTTATAAAGGTTATAAAAAACCAAACTGAATTGGATATTTGTTATCATATCAGTGTTATTCCTATAGTGTGGCATTTAAGGGTTGAATGTGTTCTTATGAAGTAGTATAATAATATTACTTAAGCATTTAACAGCATATACATGTAGGTATGCGATTTATTTATGTATAAAATGTGTAATCCAACTGGATTGTACATAACATGTACTTCAAATAACTTGATTAATAAAATATACGTAGCATATATGAAATTTAACATACAAATACAATATCAAAGTCAATAATGTTGATAGTATATTTTATTTGTTACTTTAACAAACATAATGTTTAATACAACTACTGTAAACCTTGATATATATATAAAATATTATTTCTTATGTAACGCAGTTTCAAATTATTGCTATATATAGTTGTTCATACACACTTTCTGTTTTTCTAAATATTCATTTAATATATATACAGAGAGAAAACAGAAAAGCTTATTGCATATAGAATAACTATAGAATAGCCGAACATTGCTTTAATAGAAAACCTATCAATTTTATTCTTATTAATTATATTCTTTGCAAAAATATCACAGACTGTATATAAATACTTTTATAGGTATATAAATACTTTTATATGTATAAATATCTTGTGATGCAAAAAGAAAGAGTAAAGATAAAATTACAAGATTGTTGTGTTTGCTTATGCTATGTGACACATCAACGGAACTTTTCATTGTGTCAATAGAAAGAAACTTTGCAATTAGAAATAAAGTAATTATTATGAGACGAAAAAGTTTGCTGTTTTATGCAAGTTAATTAATCGCATTAATACGCAATTATTAATCTCGAATAAAATGAATATATTTTATAAAATATTTTAGGTGTAACTATGGTGGATAAGTAACCTTTTGTAGATGAGTCTCAACAGCTTGCACTATCGCTGGTGCATGTTCGATATTATCTTCAGCCAGCATGGTGAGCATGTTGATAAGCGGCTTACTGTTAATAGTAAGATCAGACAGAGATGAGATGTACTCATCTGCAACTTCTTTGGACTTGGTTGACGAGAACATGATGCCACTAATGAATAAACACGTGACAAAAATCCAGATCAAATCCAAAGCGTGGATTCAGACTGTAACATAAAAAAGAAACACACGTTTTGTAGCAAAACGTTTATCTTTTAAATAAAAAAAAAATATATATATATACAAAGATTAATTTATGTAAAGAAAAAAAGCAATTTATACATCAGGTAAATACAAGAAAAATTCTTACAACTTTTTATTCCTTCTAACAATCCATTAAAAAGTAATTATTTCCATTAGAAATAATTATTTCTTATGATTGGATGTTTTATAACAAAATTACATAAAGTGATGTGTATTAAAATATGTAAGCAAAAAAAGAGATCCTAATAATCTTTCACTCTCGATATCTTTTGCATACTTTGATATTACACGCGCAATAATGGATGTTACATCATCTCGTGGAAATCTGCGTGTTTTTCCAGAAAATTTGTAAAACACACACGGTATGAGTCTTGTCTTAACTTAAATCCGATCCAGCAGGATGCACCATGTTAACAGGATTCAGAAGCCGCGTGATTTCGATACGGTATACCGTAACACGAAAGATTCTGTCGCGTGTCTCTTCTGTGTACAACTTATTTCGAAACGCGTTCTAATATTTACACGCATTTATTACTGATAGGGGAATTCCTGAAGATATAACTAAAAGCGGAATTCTTGAAGGATGATTCACCGGAAGAAAAAGAGAACGCGGAGCAAGACTGTGCTTGCGACACGATGTCACAGTCGAGCGACGGCGAAGCTTTTTACGTCCGTGCCATCGGAAAAGGAAAGCATGCTTTTTGCGGTTGCACCGAGACGAAATCTAGGACGCGAAAGCAAAGCGAAACGAGACGAGACAAGGCGGGGACGCATCGCAAGGCTCCGTTACGCGTCTCTGACTCCCTGGTCGAAGATGCGAATGAAGTCGTCGGGGAATGCCCGGATGCCGGTTTCGAGGCTCTCACGGAAACTGCGCTCGCGACGCGTTTACGTAATATCATCCGCGGCTCTAGACGAAGGTCGTCGGCCACGTCCGTACGCGGTGAAACACTTTATCGATTTCACTCTCGCGGCCTCCCTCTCGCGGCCTCTCGCTCGCACCCGCGATCGAAGTAGCCGCTCTGGATGCGGGAGGATGCGATTCACTGCGCGTTCCGGACGCAATCTTCGATCGTCGTCTACCACGCATCAGGATCCGCGTGTCAAAGTACAGTCGCGAGGCAACCATCCAGCTCGCATCTGGAGTCACCGTCTCCGTCTTCGCCGCCCGTTTCCTCGAAACTCGTCGTTGAACGCTTTTTACTTTCTATTGCCAATCTCCCGATGGTTAATTACCTTCTTCAGCGCATTGTGCGACGCAGGCAGGCATAGTCCCGTACGGTGGCCGTCCGTACCTCGGCGGGATCCTCGAAAAAGCCACGCGCGTTGCACTACACTATACTGCTTGCTTACGCGAACAGGATCTCCACGTAAAATGGCTGTCGTACATACCTCCGTTTTATCTGCCGATGAAATAGCGCTCGATATAACGCCGTTTCCTATTGGACGTCTGCCACTGCACGGTCGGTTGCTCTTCTCTTGGAAAATCCAATCAAATCCTATTATTAAGCATTAACAGGTCACGATGTCGCTGCGATCGTTCGAACGCGAATAAAAACGGAATAAACTCGACTGAAGTTGGCTACAAGTCTCCCCAATACACTCGCTGCGATCATCTACAACGTGAACGTCTTGAAGTTCGCTGAGGGACTGAATAGTTTTGTCGGGTCGGGCGCGGCAGCACTGTGCAACGGTAGATTCAATGGATTCAATGCTAGCCAATCAGCGCTTCTCTTTCCATAGACCTTTTCATCGCAAGCAAAAAATTGTGCGCCTGCGCAAACAAACCTAGCCTCACCTGAGGCCCTATTCTGTAACTCTTAACGACAGTGTCGATATCGTTACAGCGTCGTTGCGCAGCTTTTTTATCGTATGAAATATCTGCGCAACGACACCGTAACGATATCGACACTGTCGTTAAGAGTTACAGAATAGGGCCTCTGGTGGACTTTCGTACACTTTTCGTAAAAATACACGTGAAAAGGTCGATTACTATTAAAAAAAAGTTTTCTTAATTATGGCAAGCACAAATTATAGAAAAGGAACAACAAAACGTTGCTGTTATGGTTTATGCAAAAGTGACAAACGCTTAAAAAGTTTTAAAACTGATAATTATTATTTTATCTCGTTTCCCAAACCGTGCCTGTCATTTATTTTAAATAGAATTATTATTTTAAATAGAAAGGGTAATGTCGAAACAAAGCAATTAAAAAATCACACGAAAAATTGTGATAAATGCAATAAATGCAGTATATGGTTGAGAGCATGTGGTCGTCCTACTCCGTTTAACAACATTAAGGTGTGCCAATTCGTATACCTTTTTGATAGCTAAGGTTCATTTCCGTTGTATCCGTCCGATATCCGAGGCTCGTATTCGTTTCTCGAATCAGCTTGTTTCGGGTTTGCGGGTGATTGGCCCACAGAATCCTATCCAGCCGTCAGAGTTATACTGACTGTCGGTCGGCCGGAGCAACCGGTGATGGCCGTTTTTGTTATTATTTTTATTTAGGAATTCTAGCTGGATTTGAACTCGGGATCTTTGGCATAGGAGGCAAATACTTTGCCAGTGCGCTACGGCCACCACTTATTAAAAATATAAAAGACTATATAACCTCTCAACTAATTCGCATTTTTTCCCGTTTGTTTTTTGCTTTCTACATTTCAACCATCTTTTTAATTGCTCTACGCTGTGTTCTTGAACTGAATTATAAATTAACACAGCACCAGGAACATCAAGAGGGGAAATATTTGCTTTTACGAATGGAAATGATGAAGCCATAATGTAAAGTGTACAAAACTGTACGAAACTTTTAACTTTCCCGGACTTGGTCGATACCCCCAACCATGTTCGCGTCTGCGCATTTCGAACTATGAAAAGATCTATTAGAACAATGGATTGGTTTTATGGAGGAAAATGATCTCGAGGATCTCTTTTTGAAATTTCTAGATGTCTATCTGAAAATTATTGGATGCATCACGATCGTTAACTGAGCGCTTAGTGAGCTCTTTTGTACCTGTTTGGTTTATATTTTTAGATCTAACGAATTTTAAACATATTTTACATTAATTATTAATCATAAAACAATAGAATTTTCGTTAAAAAGATAAGACTCCAGTCACAAACCTGACATTTCAGAAAATATCTTTGTTTAGAGTTTATATTATCTGAAGAAAATAAAACTTTTAAACAGATATTTTTTAACTTTTTTCATAATTTTTCATATACCTTTCACTTATATTCTCAGCTCTGCTTATCGTATTATATACATTCTCATTTCATTGATTTTTAGAATAATTATTTTTATTTTAAAATGCTCTTTTGAAGATATTTAAAAATGTATATTTATTTATATATTTTCTTTTATAAACCGGATATTTATGTTTAATGTTATCAAATCAATGTCCTGCAGAATTCATAATTCTGAGCATTGACTTGATGGTCGAGTCTAAGGGTTGACATATAACACACAATACACATACACACACATGCACGCCGTCAGAATTATATTTCTTTTTCTGTCTACATTTAAAAAAGAAAATGTATACAATATACTTCAACATCATATAGCATTTTTATATTTCGATACATTTTCGAATAAGAGATATATAGTTTAGTTATTACATTCCGCATACACATTTAAAGTTGATTTCACTGATTATAAATTTAAATTAGTGATAGTTACTTAAAAAAAAAAGAACATTAACGGCAACTAATTACTTTAATTATATTTATAAATGTATATCCCGGCCAAATTGTTAAATAGAATTTGAATAAATTATGTGTAAGTATAAAATTGATGAGAAAAAAGCGTAAATTTGCCAAAAGAAATAATCCAGATGTAAACTTCGTAATAATGTTGAAAAGCATGAAAAGCATTAGTCATGCCTGAAGTATAGTTTTCAAAATAAAACATCTGTATTTGTCTCGCATTTCTAAAGAATGATTTATAGAAGTAAGAAAAGAATCTGACCGGTTCCACCAATAAACAAAGAGTTTTCACCAAAAACATGTGTAGACTTTCGACCGATTCTAAGAAGATATTAGACAACTATTTAACCAAAATATTAGAAAGGAATTTGAAAAAAAAAAGTTGGACCTTTACTTTTATTATTTATCATCAATTCTAAGCCTTTTTTTGAAATACAAAAAATTTTTTTTAAATATAGCTTCGCAATTTAAATAAAAATTCGCAATCAAATTGAAATAATTTTTAGATAGTATCTCAGTAAACATAAATAAATGTAACTGTAAGTATATAAATAATATTAAGTAAATCTCTAAATTAATTTTACATGGAAGAACTAAAAATGTTACGTCAAAATACAAAAAAATTTTATTTAGATCGAGTTCCAAATTTTCAATATACACTACCAATATACATATACCAATTATATATCATGAAATTGGAAATATATGTATATAACCAGAAATATTCCAGTAAACACCAAATTACGCGGACATGTCACTTTCGAGTCAAAGCGAGTCACAAAATAAACATTAGCAAGCGATTTTCCATGATTTCAAACGTTATTATAACGATGAAGCGCCAGATTTTGGTTAAATAATAGTTGTCTAATATCTTTCTTTTAGAATCGGTGGAAAGTTTACACATTTTTTTGGTGAAAATTCTTTGTTTGGTGAAACCGGTCAGATTCATTTCCCATAAATCATTCTTTAGAAATAAGACAAATACAAATGTTTTATTTTGAAAACTATACTTCGGGCATGAGAGAGAGACTATAAATGCTTTTACTTTTCAACATGATTACGATCATTATACATTGCTTATGTTCGGCCCCAATAGGACAATAATTATTAAATTAAATGAAAAAATCTTGCATAAAATTTGTAATCTGCAAATATAGAGATATTTACCAAAAAAAAAAATGTAGAAACTGTGAACGATGTGAAACAACTCTACTGAAATATATAATTCTGATATAAATATTCATTTGAATATTGCTAGTCATAACATATGTATCTAATACAACAAAATGTTAGATAATTTAGCATGGTGTAACACCATGGGTAAAAGTAACTACGATAAGTATAAATGCTATGTCTGCTGTAGATAAATAAGGTCACTGTGCTGTTTAGATAACTCGTGGAAAATACGTTTGTATCGACCATGAAAAATGTCAACGTGACGTGTCCGTCAGTCCGTCTCTTTATCCATTGTATCCAACTGTCGCGTGCGAGGTTAGGTTCCTCGACAGGCACGTCAAGATGAGCTTACGCGAACGTCAAATAAACGCCCTGAAGCAGATGCTGAACCTGAACCTGCCTGAGCCAGGGCTTGAGAGCGCGGTGCCCACGTGGAAGATCCTCGTTTACGACCGTCTTGGCCAAGATATCATATCGCCGTTGATCTCCGTCAAGGAGCTGCGCGAGCTTGGCATCACGTTACACATGCAGCTGCATTCGGATCGCGACTCCATCCCCGAGGTACCAGCGATTTACTTCTGCGCGCCCACGGACGAGAATCTCGGCAGGATCGGCCAGGATCTGCAGAACGGCCTGTATGATATTTATCATTTAAATTTCATTTCGCCAATTAGCCGGCAAAGGATGGAAGACCTGGCGACCGCAGCGTTGCTCGGTGGCGTCGTCGCCAGCATTCACAAGGTGTTCGATCAGTACCTGAATTTCATCACCCTGGAGGATGATCTGTTTGTTCTGCGACATCAAAACAGCGACGTGATATCCTACCATGCAATCAATCGCGGTGACGTCAAAGACAGCGAAATGGAATCTGTGATGGATATCATTGTAGATTGTTTGTTTTCAGTGTTCGTCACTTTGGGCACTGTGCCGATCATAAGGTGTCCCAGAGGTAACGCCGCTGAAATGGTTGCCAAGATGATTGACAAGAAACTGCGAGAGAACGTATGGGATGCAAGGAACAATCTGTTTGAAGGTGAAGCATCTGCAACTGGCCACTATAATTTCCAGAGGCCTCTGCTCATCGTGCTAGACCGCAACGTCGACATGGCTACTCCGTTGCATCACACGTGGACGTATCAAGCATTGGCGCATGATGTTCTGGAGATGGCGTTGAACAGGCTTGTTGTAGAAGAGAATGTAGGACGATCTCCCGCTGGCGGGACACGTTCCAAGACACGCGCTTACGAGCTTGACAACCGAGATCGCTTCTGGTGTCAGCACAAAGGCAGTCCGTTCCCCAGAGTAGCAGAGGCCATACAGGAAGAGCTGGAGCAGTACCGTACCTTCGAGGAGGACGTGAAGAAGCTCAAATCCTCTATGGGCATTGACAGTGACAGCGAGGT